CCCCCCCCCCACCGCAGGCCCTGGGCGCCGACCCGTCGCAAGCCAAGTGGCAGCGCGGGCTGCGCACGCTGGAGATCAACCCCACTCACCCGCTGGTACGTGAGCTGAAGGCGCGCGTGGCGGCCGCGCCCGATGCCGCCGAGACCAAGAACCGCGCCATGGTGCTGTACGAGACCTGCCTCATGGAGTCGGGTGGGTTTGGGTCTGGGTCTGGGTGTGGGCTTGGGCTTGGGCTTGGATGGGTGGACAGGGTCCACAGGGGTACGGGGAGTGCAGGGCAGGGGGTGGGAGGGGCAGGGGGTGGGGTGGCAACTGCAATGGGGAGGATGCGTGCATGGCGCCTGGCAGCCTCGCCTGCGCTGATGTGGCGGGCCTCCTCGGGCACCCGCCCCACCTTTGCCTCTCTGTGGACCACGCGCGCAGGGTACCTGGTGGAGGACGTGACGGGGTTCAACTCCCGTGTCCTGCACCTCCTGGGCGCCAGCTTGGGTCTGGAGGACCTGGTGGAGCCGACGCCGCCCAAGTCCAAGGTGACGAGGAGGGGCGTGCTGGGAGGGGGGGGGGGGGGGGTCCCCCGAGATCTGTCAGGGGTGAGTGCGCACCACGAGCCGCCCGCCCGTGGGACGGTGCGCCCCGTCGCGCGAGCCTCATCGCCCCCTTTCACGCTTTCCAGCTGGACGAGCCCAAGGCGGAGAAGGAGGAGGAGGACGACGACGACGGCGAGCCCAAGACGCACACCTTCACCTCCACGATGAAGCTTGGGGTGGACGACCTGAAGGGCCCCATCACCATCCCTGTCGGCACGCAGGACGAGGTCGCGGCCGAGGGAGTGAAGGAGAAGGCAGCGGGGGATGCCGAGGCAAAGGATGGCGAGGCGTCGGGGGTCGGCGAGGCGGCAAAGGATGGCGAGGCGGCGGCGAGTGACGCCGCCGCGGCGCCGGCCGCCGACGTCGACGCGGCGCCGGCATCGGACGACGCCGACGCGGCGGCGGAGGTCAAGGACGAGCTCTGATTGTTGAGCCCAACCTGCAACTTCCCTTTCCCCCGTGCCATGTGCTTGTAGGTGCCCCCGTGACTCCCACTCCCCGGAAACCGCACACCCAGGGCAGCCAGAGGGACCAGCCAGGCAGCTGCAGGGCAGAGAGCCACACACGCACACATGCGTGATGGGAGGGCCCGGTGCATGTCGTCCATGCCCGGAGCGGAGGTCGCCGAAAGGACCCTCCTCGCCTCATCGACCCACATGCAGCCATGATCGCCCGCCGCTGCCGTCCCGTGCCGCGGCGCCCTGCGGGCCTGGGTCGGTGGTCGGGGCCGGGCCTCGGGCGCCCGGGCATGCCGGCCCCCCGTGCGACCGCGCGGCGCATGCGCGGCTGCCGCGGGCCCCCATGCCGGCCCTGAGCTGCAGGTCGGGGCGATGCGGGCGCCGAGCGGTGCTGATCGGGGCGGCGCTCGCGGCCGGCAGTGCGGCCCTGGTCCCCCCCCGGGCCCTGGGCAGCGCCAGAGCCGCGGAGCCGGGCCATCCGCCCCGAGCTGACGCCCGACCCCAGCAGCTACCCACCCTCCGCTCGGCAAGGCCTGCAGGAGGCCACAAACATGGTGCAGAAGGGCCTGAACGCCCCCACCCTGGAGCAGGAGATTGCTGCCTGGAGTGAGGTGGTGGACCGCTACTCGCTGTCCAACGAGCCCTGGGCCGCAGAGGTGGCCGGCCGGGCGCTGGGCAACCGCGGCAACGCCCGCGCGCGCCAGGGCGACATGGAGGGCGCGCTGGCCGACCTGGACGCCGCGGCGGACAAGTGCCCTTGGGCCGTAGACCCCGTGCTGAAACGCGGCGTGGTTCTGGAGGCGCTGGGGCGCTGGGACGACGCCATCGCCGACTTCACCGAGGTGCTGGCCGTGGCGCCGCGCGACCCCGCCGCCTGGAACAACATGGGCAATGCGCACGCAGGTATTTGGCTGGGTGGATGAGCAGAGTGGGGGAGGGGGGTTGATTTGAAGGGGGCACCCCAAGACGAGGACATCTCCCCCCCCCCCCCCTTTACGTAGCACCCTGACGACCACACGTATCCCCCGATTGACGCAGGCGCGGGGCGGTATGCCGAGGCGCTGGCCTACTACGACGGCGCGGTGCAGCTGGCGCCTGCCTTCTCCTTTGCCGCGGCCAACAAGGCGCTGGCCCTGTATCAGCTGGAACAGGACGAGCTGAGCCTGCACGAGATGCGGTCCCTGCTGCGCCGCTACCCGTCCTTTGTGGACGTGCGTGCGGCGCTGACGGCGGCGCTCTGGCGTGCCGGACAGGAGGCGGAGGCGGAGGACCAGTGGCTGCGGGTAGACGACCCCCGGTACAGGTGAGGGACCTGGGGGAGGGGGGGGGATTTGGAAGCAGGACCACAGCGAGGGCGTGTGTGCCGGGGTGGACTTGGAGGTATCACAGCTTGGATTGGCGGCTAGTGCTGCCTGATTTCTGTGAGCGGGCACATTTCGTGTATTTGACACGTGTCGCAGCTCCTGCAGCAAGCCAGCACGTGATGGAAGGGAGTATGCATCACCCCCAGGCAGAGGCAGACAGCGACTGCGTTTGTGCTGCCAGGAGTGTCGGCGCCCTGCACTGTCTGATGTATTGTGAAGCATTCTCGTGCCGCGTGCTGCATCCAACCCCACACCCCCTTCTCTGACATCCCATACAGGGAGCGCGACTGGCTGGTGACCAAGCGGCGGTGGCCCCCGCGCCTGGTGGGAGACCTGCTGGCCTTCCTGTCGCTGCAGAGCACCGTGGTGCCCGCCGCCTGACCTGTGCCCTCACCTTTCCCTCAAGGGCATGCAGTCGCGACGGTATGGCCTGATCAAAATGAAGGGCGCTGGAAACTGGAGCGGCCGAAATATGAAATCAGTGACGTTAAAGGCCAGCTCGAATCAGCATAGGACAGGGGGGTGGGGCCCAGAGCGATGAGGCAGGGAAGAAAGAGGGACGATCTCGCTGATGATGGGTAGGGACATGCGGGGCGGGGTTGGCCCAGCCAGGCATGGCGCCGCCGCCGCGAGGGCTCAGCCACCCCTCGCCCTGGGGCGGGGGGCTTGCGGCGGCGTGCCGTGCTGGCCGGGGATGGCGACAAGTGTGGTGAACAACGTCCGGGGCCGTAGAAACATGGGCCGGGAAGCTTGAATGGCTGAGGTAAGTATCAAGCTGAGGCTGCCGGGCCCTTTCTCTCGGTAAATAGAGGAACGGGTGGTGCCAGGGGAAGAGAGCAAGGCAGTGGTGTTGTGAGGGGTTGGCTTGCGGTAGGGTGCGTGGGTGGCTGCCTCTGCCACGCCGCTCAGTAGTGCGCAGGGCCGGCGATGCGGCTCTTTAGAAAGGGGAGGGTCTGTTTTCCCCTCCCTCCAGTCCCTTTGCTCAGCTGCCGGGAGGAGGGTGGCCAAACGCCCGCTCCTCCAGCCCCCGCGCGTAGTACCAGGGCGCCTCCAGCACCGCCTGGGGCGCCAGGGGCTCCAGGTCCAGACTCTCGAGCGGGGGCGCCTGGGGCGAGGCCGTCTCGTCTCCGGCCTCGGCCTTGGGCACGCCACGCAGCCAGGGGCTGGCCAGGGGCTGATCCAGCTGGCGCTGCGGCCCCCGCCCGTACCCCTCCTCGGGCTGGAGGGCCCAGAGGGGGTGCCCCCACCATCCGCCGGGTGGGGGCCCGGCGGCAGCGGCGGCGGCCCGTGGGGGCCAGGCGCCGGTGAGGGTGGCGGGCCCGCCCCGGGGCGACCCCGGACTGGCCATGTGCAGCACGCCCGGGGAGGGCATGGCCAGCGGCGTCAGCTGCAGGCTGACTTCCTGCGGCCCAGCGCCGCGTGGCGTCTCCTCCCCCGGAAGCGCCGGCCCTGCCTGGTCGTCCGGCGGCGGCGTGTGACAGCGCGACGCCGGCGCGTACGCGCCTCCGCGCGATGCGCGCGCGTCCCCGGGCGCGGCGCGCTCGCCCAAGCGCAGCGCCGCGGGCGGCGGCGGCAGCGCCCAGCCGCCCGCACCACTGTCTGCATCAGGGGGCGGGCCCGGGCGCGGCCCCGGCACCAAGCCTCGCGTGTCGAGGAGCATGGAGAAGGGCGAGGCGCGCGGGGGCGGCGCCAGGCCGCGCGCCCGCGCGCGGCGCCGCGCGCCCAGACGCCACGAGGCGGCGTCGAAGGTGGGGCTGGCCCGCGCCGCGCTCTCCACCAGGTCGGGGAGGCTGGTGCCCAGGCCCATGCGCTGCATCACCATCTCGTCGTCCAGCAGGAGGTAGGGCAGCGTCCCCGGCGGGGTGCTGTAAGTGGGAAAGGGCGGCGGGGGTGGTGTGGGTGGTGTGGGAGTGGGTGACGTGGGGCGCCGTCGGGGGCCATGCGACTGTTGGTGGCGTCCGGCCGCCACCATGATCACTGTCGGGCCTCAAACCCTCCCTTCCCGAGAGGTGCCCTCTCACCTGCTCAGCTCGATGTGGGCGAGCCTGCGGTCCGGCTCCCCGTACAGGATGGTGGATTGGACGCCGCGGCCCACCTGGAGGAGGTCATGGCAAGAGGGAAGTAACAGCGAGTCGACTGATGTGCACAGGCAGGGCCGAGCAGTTGCCAGACGCATGCTGCGTCGCCTGTAACTGAAGGCACCCACGAGGCCAGGGCTTTGATGCTGCCTGATGGACCCGCAGCCTTCCCTGGCTGGATGTACTGCAGGCTGCAATTTACCTGAATGAGCATGAAGGGGAGGGGGAGGAGGCCAAGCTCGGCCGAGGAGGCCCGGCCCTCTGCCGGGCCGGGGAGGAGGGCGTAGGGCGGGGACCCCATGTTGCGCAGGGCCAGGTTGCAGAGACAGTACCCCTTGGCCACCATTCCCTGCAAATAAAGCAGGGCAAGAGGGGTCAATGGGGATTTGGTTGTTGATTCAGCAGGGGCGCCCCACACGGTGCCAAGCAAATTTCCTGGGCGACCCTCTGCTGGTGGCGGGGAGAGTCAAGGCGCTCGGGGATGGACCGAGGTGGCGCCATCACTCCCTCTGACGGCATGGAGGAGCAGCATGCGTCTGACAATTCCTTGGAGGCCCTCACCAGTCATACCAATGCTCACCTTGAGATCGGCCATCCGCTCGCGCACTTCTGCCGCCTGCTGGTCCGCGCATTCCTGCTGCTGCTCTGCCACACCGGTAGCGGATGAGGCAGCGGGACCCGCGGGCGGACCCTGTTATGGGCAGCGGATCCATTGCTTTGGGATGCGAGTGCGCGCAATGGTGGGAAGGGCACCAATCTCGAGGATGGACGATTTCTTTTTGATCGCCAGACAGGGTCCCCCACTCCCAGGCATGCCAGCCATAGTAGTATCATTACGTAATCCAATGCCATCCCACTCACCCGCGGCCAGCTGACCCAGCGCACAGACTTGCTGTCCTTAGCGATCGCTCCACAAGCCTCCAGGACATTCAGGGCGTCATACACTCGCCTCCGGATGTTCTTCTCGTCGATCTCGCCGTCGCAGGCCCCTGCAGCCAAGATTGGGGTCAAGCCAGGTCTGTGAGACTGGCCTTGCGGTTGCAGACTGAAGTGGTGAGGTCGGCAGCTGCAGCCCTGCCCCCCCTGCTCGCCCCCCCCCCACCCACCCTCGACGCCCGTCCCTCACGGCTTGCTCACCTCGCACGTTCCCTGCCATAAAGTCCTGGACCAGGCTGTCTGCCACCTCGTTGTAAGTGGTGGTGCCCCTGGCCAGCACCTTTTCGCAGACCATGAGGCTGTAGACGGGTAGGGAGGTGTTGGTGGAGAGTTCAGGCAATGAGGGCAGTGGGGCATGGGCAATGGTGGGATCGTCGACGGCAGGCCAGTCTTGGATGCCAGGCCATACTCTTAGATTTTGCTGTACTGTTTCACGTCGGCATGACAGCCGCCACACCGAATCCAGGCGTCACAGGCACTCCAGTCCAGGGCTCACCTGTATTCCTTGAGGCCCACGCCCACAGATTTGGAGCTGCTGCTGGCAAGGTCTGAGCTCTCGGCAGCCCCTGCCTTGCGAGGGGTCGGGATCCTGCGCAAGAAGTGTGTTGGAACCGGTAAAGGAAAGGGTGGTGAACAGGGTCATGTGCCGAGCTCTCGGCTCACAGAACATATACTGAGCTCCCGGCTCATTGCACCGCCCCCTTTCATCGCACCCCACCCGCAGCTCATCGCCTGACCTGCCCCCCTCACCGCTTCCTCTTCGACAGGGGTGGGGTGCTGCTGCTGGCCTCCTGGGCCGACAAAGATCCAGAGGTCAGCTCTAGCTTCCCCTCGGAGGGGCTCTGGGTCTTCTCGGCCGACGTCGGGCTGGGCTGACTGTGTAGGGCGGCTGCCCTGCACTCCAGCTGGAGCAGGCGGGCACTGGCAGCCTCGATGCGGGCCAGACAGGCCACGATGGCTTCGTCAGCTGCTTCCTCCTCCATTTGTAGCACATGATGGTGGCGTGGGTAGTGACTCACCATTGGATCCCCGCACCGATCGCCGGGGAACACGCTGACGCTGGACATGGCACGGGGGCACGGCCCGCGAGTCACATCGCTGGGTAACCGGGCGGGGTACCAGGCTCCGGGATATTGTACCGCCTGCATGTCGAAGGTGCGGGGGTATTGGGGTGCGCCCTCAGCTTCGCGCGGGGTGATTGCCCCCATCCCCGCAGATGCCGAGGGCCGCAGCAAGGGTCCGTGGAATGCACATGCCGCCCTGCGATCCACCCTGTCCCCGATCCAGCTCAACCCAGTTACCCACCTCGCCCCAAAAGCGGGAGGTCCAGGTGCCTGCTGCCTGGGTGTCGATCTTAGCAAGGGGCTTCGCACGGGTCGTACGCAGCTTGGCCGTGAATCAAGAAAGGGGGGGCTGCGCCCACGCAATCCAGCTCAGTGGGACATTCAGCTGGTGAATTCCTGCAGTCCAGGCCGTGCCAGATCAGATCTGCGCACCGGATGAAGGCATGTTAACCCATAGACACGAATGGTCCGGTTTGATTGAGGAGGAAGCCGCTCCCAGGGGGGTTAGGATGAAATGCACGGCCAGGGTTTAGGGGCGCATGAAAAATGCGAGGGTGCATCGGCAGCTGAGCCGCCGTCGCAGTACTACACCGCCCAGCTACCCAGCGCCGGAAAGCCATTCGGGAGGGCAGTGTTGCACAGTGGAAGGCTTTCCCTCATACCTGACTGACCTGAATTTTGACGGGGTGGCAAGCAGCCTCGGCGCACCGAGTCGCAACAGTTTATATGAGGGGGAAGCAGCCCTATGCAGCCGGTAATAACCACTCGAGCAGTGTTTTTCCTCTTTCTGCCCTAGTTGAGGGTAAGCGCGATTGTACCATCACCCAAAATCCGTCATGATCGACATGCCTGGTCGAGGTCGTCTCGACAGCCTGGTCATTGGGCCCGCGCGTATCTAACAGATTCGCAAGTGCTGAAGCTTCCCTCCACGACGGGGCATGGCTATCGCCAGTACCATGCACAGTCGCCGGATTGGCGACAGAGATTGGAGATCATCATCGTGTCGCGAGATCTCTCATCAGTTCTGGCTGGCTGGGGCGCTCATGGGCGCACTCGAAGTGTGGCTGGCTGGTGCACAGGCGGGCACCCCTGGGTGGGCCGGACCAGCATTGCATATCAGATACCAGGGCCCGTCCGAAGGGCATGGATGGATCAAGTCGCACCCTTGAACATCGAAGTGTGGCTTGGGAGATCAGTGACGCGATTCAGCCGGGGTGGGTGCTTCGTCCCGGCCTCGCCCCACACAGGGCAGATGGGAAGTGTTTACAGGGAGTGTCATGGAATAATTGCAAGCAAGGCCATCCGGCTCGAACGAATTAAATGCTGGTCTTTCGTGATACATGCTAGTGTCTGGATGCTTGGAGGAGTCATCTGGTTGGAGTCTGACGGGCATCGCCAGGAATCGCATCCCCAAGTCACGTGTCCTGGTCGCCCTCAGGCGCTCCTGCAAAGCCCTCGGGGTCTGTCCAGCACCTGGGCTTGACCCCCGTCGCAGCCTGCACGATCCGCTCCAGCCTCCGGAAAAAGCCCTGGTCTGCAGCAGGGCATGCTGGTACAGCCTTGAGCTGGTATGAAGGACAGGCCATCCAGCTGGATCCTCATGGTGTGTAGCATGCCTGCAGACAGGCCAGGCCCAGCTCCAGTCCCATGCGCCCATGCAGCGCCAGGCCACAGCCCACCCAGCGGTGACCAAATGCTGCCGTACGAGCCCTCCCCCCTCACCCGAGCCGTTGCCATCCAGGATCGGGTTCCACACGCCACTGACGATGCAGTAGTTCCCCTCAAAGGGCGGCCTGTGGTGGGCGCCATGGACCTTGCAGGACACGATGACGCCCGCGTCCTGGGAGGGCGGGAAAGGTAGCGTGAAGGTCATGGCTGGAACCTCAGCACGCACGCCAGCATACGGCACAGCAGACACGAGGTGTGGACGCGGTGGGGGCTGCTGACCACCACCAGCAACCTGGCGGGCAAGCGCTCCTGTGCCCTTCCAGAGAGACCAAAGTATACCTTGCCCTACAACCCCACCATCATCATCGTCACCTGCAGGGCCAGGACGGCCGCCGGCAGCTGGCTGGGCTTTTTGTGCGCCCAGGCGTGCGTCTGCTGGCTCAGGCACAGCAGGAGCAGCAGGCTGGCGCCAAAGGTGGTGAGCCAGGATGGGGTGAAGGGGGCGGCGGCAAGCAAGACCAGGGCTGGTGCGGTCGCCGGCTTGAACACCTTGTGCACATTGTTGGCAAAGGCTCGCTGCGTGATGGTCCAGGGCTCGCTGTGGTGCCCTTGGAACGCCGCGATCTGGCTGCCGAAGAAGGGCGTGTCGCCGTCGCCATAGTTGTCCAGGCCCCAGTGCACCACACCCGAGACGAAATCTGTGGTCACGTGTTGGGTGGGTGGGTGGGTGGGTGGGTGTGTGTGTGGGGGAATGAAGGATGGAAAATTCCCCTCAACTTAAAACAGCATTAATCAGGCGTGCTTGGGTGCAAGTCTTCTCACCACCAAGTGCATCAAACAAAGTTAGGCACAGCACCCAGACGCACCTGCCGCATAGTAGGAGGCCACACAACTGGCCAGGAGCGCCAACACTTCGCCAGGGCTGTCCGTGTGGGTGCCAGCAATGCCAACAGACCCCATGAGCAGTCCCATGGTGCCGTACACCCATGCCCTGTGCTCCAGGGTGCTCTCAAAGTGCACCAGATCAGAAGGCTCGGTGGGCATGCGCATTTTCCTGGGGCTGGGCGGCCTGGGCCGGGTCTTCGCGGGTGCAGGTGGGGACTGCAGCACGGCGGAGGGCGAAACCCGGCGCTCCATGCGCACACTTCGACAGTGTCCACACATACCCGGACTCAGCGCCATGAGCGGTGTGTGATAGGCTCCATGCACGAGAGACATGGCAGTATGCCCGACCTATGTGATACGAGGCCAGGCACCCCGTCCCCTGCAGCTTCGCGGTGGGAGACGCGGTTGACAGGGGTGGTTGCCAGTGCTCCTGGCCTGTTTCCTCTCGAGGTCACTTGGAGGTCTTTCAAGCGACCATGAGAGGTTAAAGGCTCTGATTCTACTGCCTGGTGATGTGAGCCTGCATCTGCAGGGACTCCCGGCCCCATGAATCACATGCCGGATGTAGAATTCATGTGATCTCGCCCACACGTGCTGAGCTGCTGCGTCCGCCCCACATCAGGCATCTTTCTTCTTCAAGCTGCCAGCGAGCTTCTTCTTGCGCTGTCGCAGCAAGAAACTGTACAGCCTCCAGAAAATTGGAATGTAGATGAGGAGGAGCACCTGCGGGGTGCCAAGGTGGGGTGTGAGTTTCAGGCAGGTGGGGGGTACCCACCCCACTCCCTCCCAACCTCGGTCGCAGGCCCGAAACGCATGCATGCATCATGTGAGTGCTGACGAGCTCGAGAATGGCGCTGGGGACGTACCAGGCCTCTCATGTGGGCATGGATGCAGCAAGGCGGACAGGCACGCTTCTCTCCTGCCCAGCGCTGATCTCCACACCAGGCATTCCTGCCGACTCACCCAGAGGAAGTGGGCGTAGCTGATGGTGTGGCCCCCCGGGACCTGTACGCTGTACGCCTTGGACTTGGAGATGAGGGGGATGGAGTCCCACACGATCTTCATCTCAGCCGCGACACCGATGGGGTACAGGGGGATGAAGGCAGAATACCTGCCGGGGGGGGAGGAATGGATTTCGCCAAATTGTAGCTTCATTCAGCTGAAGCACAAGCCTGCTTGTACTTGGAAAGACCCAGGTGCCCGCCGGCATGCCATGTGTAGGTCGCGACCTTGCCTGAGCCATGCCAGTATGGGGACAGACTTTCCCATGATGACAGAGGCGTAGTAGGCAAATCGGATGATGTCGGCCAGGGCCCATACAGCAAAGAGCACAGTGACCATGGGGGACTTGGAAACCTGTGAGGATGGGATCGGTGCGGGAGCCAGAGATATCTTGGTGCTGGTGCCCCGCCGAGGCCCTCAGTGCACCCCGGATTCCCCACAGGCCTTGGATCCCTGCGCATCAGGCCCTTGTTACCTCTGGGGGAGCCAGGGGCAGCACACCGAACAGAACATTGGAGCGTCCGGCCCATTGGAGGAAGGCTGTGAGGGGTGCACTGGCGACTAGCCCCACGGCCGCGTTCAGCACATCCAACAGGCCCAGCAACTGGAACGTCTCTGCGCTCGACAAGGTGCCATTCATTACACGGCATGCAGTGTGGCGTCTGGGCGTTGACAGACAGCGCTTGCGGAGATCCGGCAAGCGGCCGCTACGAAACCCTGTGCACCGCCCGCCCCTCCACCCCGCCTCACCAACGAAGGCTGATGTGTCCTCAGAGGGGGGTTCCACATTTCGATTGACGACAAGAGATGCAATAATGCTGACCAGGGCATAGCTCCAGCCCATGAAGGATATCCCGCAGTACGTGAGGAGGTAGGCCTGCGAGTGCCGACCCATGTTGCCTCGACTCCAGAGCGCTGCTGTGGATGGTGCGATGGAATACCTACTGTTTGATAATACTCCTTGTAAGCCAAGGCCTCTAATGGCTCTCGCGACCCTCCTTCTGGTCACTCAGCGGTAACAGCTGGGATCAATCAGAGCTCGACTCCCGCTTCAGCTTGGTGGGGCTGGGAGGGCAAGAAGTGTAGTCATCCCAGCCTGCCCGTTCGTCGTCTACGATCTTCCTTCAACTCAACATGTACTTGTGATAGACTTCGCTTACACTCGACTTGCTGTCCAAGTGATCCAGCCTTGGAGACGGTCAAGAGGCGTGGGATGGGTTTGGGGCAGCTTCACAGCTCCTCGTGATCTGAGGGCGAGGGGGGGCAGGGGCGATGTGAGGCCGTTTTCTCTGGCTTTCTTGACTGCCCCGGCTGAGGCAGGAGTGCATGCTACGATTCGCACCAGCAACCTTCATGCAATCCAACCCCCCCCTTCCCCCCTTCTTCTCACCTGCAGCCTCCTCCTTCTTGCCCTTCTTGCCCTTCTTGGGCAGCGTGAACTTCTTCTTCGCGTTTGCCTTCAGGAACTTGGTGAAGGCCTGCAAGGTGTGGACGGCGGGGCCACAGGAGTGAGCGACGCGAGTGTGGTCGAATCTACGTCGACACAGCGTGCTCGATGCAGGTGTGGTGCTGCCGGGGATCCCCAGCACCTGGTATGTGCGCTCTGCGGGCACTCATGTCCCTGCCGGCCCTCGTTCTGGTTCCCAGGCTGGGGCCCCTGGCCCCGGCCCTCAGGCACACCCCCCTGATCCCCCGGTCCCCTCCTACGCTGGCCCTCTACCTTGAGCGTACGCTCGTCGGTGTAGGGGATGGCCTCCTGGGCCTTGCCCGCCGGGAAGAAGAGCAGCGTGGGGAAGCCCTGCGGTGCGGGGGAAGAAAGCGCGAGGGCGTGGGGGTGGGGAAAGGTCCGGCTCTGGGATCCATCCCCCTGTCAGGCCCAGCCCGCGGCCGCCCTGCGCAGCCTGATCAGGCCCTCCACTGGCATCAACGCGGGCTTTTGGATGGATGGTCCCTCCTGGCTGCGCCCGAACCACGAGCCATCCAGACGAGGGAGCGCCCCGTCGCCGAGCAGGAAACGGCCATTCCCTCCTTTCCAGGTCGCACCTCAGGAATCCCATTCCTGGATGCATCGCACTTGAGAGCCCCCCCCACCCCCACTTCACCGAGCACCTTGGCATCGATGTCGGGGTGCTCGTTGGCGGTGCCGTCCATCTTGGCAATGACCACGCTGTCCACGCTGGCAAAGCGCTTGGCCAGCTTCTCGTAGATGGGGGCCAGGGACTGCGAGGAAGTTTTGGTGTGGGAGGGTGTGTGGCAATGATGAGTCCCACAAGGCCCGTCGCAGAGGGGTCTGAACGTGGGCATCGTTCGTGGCATGCGAAGGGTGCGCAGCTACGCATCGCGCCCGAGCAAGCTTCCCCCACACATACACACCACCCTTCCCCTCAGGCTCCCCCCACCCGCACCCCTGCGCGCACACACACACACAAACACACACACACGAACCTTGCAGTGGCCGCACCAGGGCGCATACACCTCCAGTAGGACATCGTGGTCCTCGCTCTTCACGATGCTGTCCACTGCATGCGCGAAGGGGGCGGGGGCTCGAATGGTGGGTCCAGAGGGAACGTGGCGGTGGAAACGATCGAGGGGGGTGGGGGGTGCATTCAAACCATGGCTTTCTCAAAAGGGTGCCACTCCTGCAGGTCCTGGGCAGCTGGCAGGCTCTCTCTTCCTGGTCTTGCGCAGCGATCCCGGTCTCCGACAGAGCCTTCGGACTGCCCACTCCACCCCATCCATCACCCCTCCTTCAGCCTCACCGGTGCTTCCGACCACCACAGTCACGCCGTCCTCGGTGGGCTCCTCTGGCACAGGGGCTGTGCGGCAGGCGGGGAATGGGAAGGGAATTTTGTGTGCCCGTATGGGGGAGGGTCACGTCGGGCCAAGAGGAGGCGGTGGCACCCCATGCATGGGTCGGGCAGGAGGGCGCATCCTCTGCCCAGTGACGCGCATCCTCCACCCTCTGCCGCAGCCCGCCGCCGTCCTCTCCACCCCTGTGCCCCACCAAGGATCCATCTCACCCCCCTTTCTGCCCCCCCCCCCCCCATCACCACGCCACCACCCAAACGCACCCGACTTGAGGAGGGCCTGGGCGGAGCCGTCGTTCAGGGCAACCGCAAAGGCGGCCAGGGCGTCGGCGGTGACCTCACCCTCGCCTGGGAACTTGAACTTCTTGTTGGACTTGGAGTCGAAGCCGACCACCTGAGCGGTGCTGGCGGCAGCGTCCAGCCCGAAAAAGTCCAGGATGGGCTTGGCGGTCTCGGTGCCCAGCTTGGCGATGACCAGGACGACCTGGCCGCGCGTCTTGGCCGACGCGGCGCGGAGCAGGGTGTCGAGCTCCTTGCCTGGCGCGAAGGCCTCCTCGGGCCCAGCCACGATCACCTGGATGGGGGGGGGGGGTGGAGGGAAGTGGGGTTTAGGTGGGGGGGCACGCCCAGGGTCCCGAGGGAAGGGGGTCTGGGCCGTGTGGCTCGAGCCCAGGGATCGCAGGGCCCCCCCGGCCCATGGGCGCGCCGGGTGCGCGGACGCTGCTGGTGGGCCTGGCCGCCTTCATTCGGAGCCTTTCCAGCAGCAGCGACATTCTAACACACAAAGCCCGGGCCCTGTATGCGATCCCCTCCCCTCCAATTACAACAGCACCACGCAGCTCACGTGCTTGTCCACGCCAGAGCCGAAGATGGCGTTGGCGTTGGCCTGGCTGAACTCCATGTAGGCGGGGAGGCGCTGAGCCAGGAGGAAGGCGGCGGCGCGCTCGCCGAAGCTGCCCTTGGCACCTGGATGTGGAGAGGGGGAAGGGGGGGGGGGCGGGGGTGTTGTGAGCGAAGCAAAGTGGGGTGCCCCAGGGCTTGAAGCCACCTGGTTGCACTGTGCCGTGGTGCCATGGGCAAACCAGCCCCAGGGATGCACCGGGGTGCAAAGCCCCGTCCTAGAAGTCGAGAGAGGGGCGGTCGACATAGCATCCAGTCAATGCACCACCACCCCTCCTTGGCCCATCCTCAGTACGCCCGAGGGGCGACGCTTGCCGCCACAGCACCCCTCCTCCGTGAACCCCTCCCCAGGACCCTCAGAACGCACCCTCAAAGGTCGAGTCGCCGGCGCTGGTGACGGTCTCGGGGTCAAAGCCCTCGTAGTTGCGGATCACCGCCACAGAGCCTGGTGCAGGGTGCAGGGGGGCGGTGAGCCCCGTGACCCCGGCAGGGCAAGGTATGATGAACCACAGGCCGGGACTGCCCTGCCTGTCGCCCACCACTTGTCCAGGTTGTTCAAGACATCCAGGGACCACGCCTCCAGGCCCCACAGCACCCCATGCAGCGCACCTGTGGCGGTCAGGCCCAGCTTGGCGGCGACGTCCTTGGAGGTGGTGGTGAAGAATTCGGTGTCATCCTTGGAAGCGGCCACTGCAGACAGGGACGCTGGGGCACATGAGGGGTGGAAAGCGCAAGCGCAGGTGGCGTCGAACGATCAGCTCGTGCCGCTGGCTTGAGTGAAAATGCCGGTGGCGCCAGAGACCTTTCGGAAGCTGGCCCTCCATTGCAGGGCCTCCTCCTTGGGGAAGGCCGGCGGAAGACAAGGCCCCTGCTCGCGATAATTGGACACGCGAGTGGATCCCCTCCCTCCCTTGCTCACACTCCGTGTAGGATTCAAAGTCTGCGCCCGACAGCTCAGACAGGTAGGCCAAGACCGTGGCGCCCGGCTTCTCCGACAGCTTCTCTGCCGCGTCCACTGCCGTGACGTCACTCGTGGCGGGGCCAGTCTTCTTGGCAATCCACCGCACGATGTCATCCCTGCAGGTGGGAAACAGGGGGCCGTGTGGGAGGGCGGGGGATGGTATGATGCACCCGATGACCTCATAGGCCCCTACAGATCACTGCTCCATGCGCGAAGGGCATTCTCATTGCTGTGTCCACAAGTGCATGGGTCAAGGGTGCATCCACAACCCACTCTCCCTTCAAGCCTTGTTCAATAAGAGAGCCCAGCATCAACAAGGCATCGCCCAAACTCCAGCTCGACCTACTTGGTCCGGCCGCCACCAAAGTCGCTGGCCTCCTTGCCGTTCACAAACCACTTAAGGGTTGGGTACCCCTTGACATCAAACTGGTTTGCAAGGTCGCCCTCCTCGGTGGCATCCACCTGGTGCAGGTATGGTTGGGTTCCTGCTCTGTGGGTCTCATCAGGGGCCTTGCAATTGCCATGCACCCTGATGGCAGGCGCAGCATGGCAGGCAGGGCAACCATCAACAGGCACGCGCCTTAGCGAGGATGGCTGGGAGCCCTTGCTTCTTGACCTCTGTTGCAGCAGCAGCATAGGCAGGCTTCAGGTTCTGTGCCAGCCGAGGGGATTCGAAGAGTGAGCTGAAGGTTTCGCAATCTGCCTGACTGAAGCAGAGTTCAAAAGTGACTGGCTTCTTCCTACCTTGCAATGGCCGCACCATGGAGCATAGAACTCAACCTGCACTTGTATGAAGGGGTTTGAGATCCTGAGTGACTCAGCACAAAGCCTTTGGGCAGAGTCGATGTGCAAGCACTTGCGATCGGCAGGTGCTGACGGCGAAGGTGGGAAAGTCATGGGTCTCGCACCAGTGCGAACTTCTCCTTGGCCAGCTCAGTCTCGAAGTTTTTGGTGGTCAGCACTACCACGTCCTTCTCGTCAACATCGTCGGCAGGGGCGGATGCCCACACGCTGTGTCCGGCGATCAGCAGCACCAGGAAGGTGCATCTTAAAAGTCCTGATCCTGCCATGCTCAAGATTGTAAGTGTTCAATCAGGTTTCTGCCAAAACAATTACAGAGCCAGAGGCCATGTCAAGGTGCTTGTTTACTCGCTGAGATCCCCAGGAGCCGGAGCTCGAAAGGAACACGTACCTTTCCCGCGCAGTTCCTGGGTTTTTCGAGGCAGACACCCTGACGGAAAGGTAGAGGAGCGTTTCAGGGTGTTTGAAACATGCTTCAGGTTCCATGAATGGTGCTGTACTCATGCATGAGCCATCTGCGGCAAACTGGCTCCTCTTATAGACTGATACAAGGGATTACTTGGGATGCACCACGCAGCAGGAATCACCACCTTTCACATATGGGAATCCTAAATAGTGGATCTTCGGTTTTTAAGATCTGGAAACGACTTGGCAGTAGCACAGATCTCCCATCTGGCTCTCCTGGCAATGTGTTGAAGAGCTGTGCGAGTAATACTAAGTACTGGCATGGGGTGGGATACCATTCTACCTTACTCAGAGCTCACCTCTTTGCCTTCGTCTCACTGTGAAGTACCAACACTGTGAAGTACCAACACCTTCTCAGTATTGAGTTCGGTGGGAGTACCTCACGGAGAAGACCACTCCCCTCAACGCGGCCCAAGGCACCGGCAGAATCCGACCCGATCTTGCATTGGGGGCAGCGGGGAAGCGGGGAAGGGGTACGCGCAGAGGCTACATACCACTGGGTCTCCACACCCATCGTACTCTCCCACTTCCCTTCGTGCTCATTATTATGTTGAAGGATGTTTAGCGACTTTGAGTTTCTGTAGAGTCTGGCCGAGAGGTTCCCTTCGGACTGATACCAAGCTCCTTTCCCAGTGGTTAAGGTCCTGCCCCCGAAGCGACATGCAGCAAGCTTGTCCACAGTGCATCCTGGAGCGGAGTGTGTGGTTCAAGGGGTCGCCCTGCGCTCCCAAGCCGCGCAGGCGCTCGGCGAGGCCCTCCTTGCGCTGCCAGAGGGTCAGCTACCCGCAGGCAGTTTCCTCCGCGCCTGTCGAGGTTGGCACCGTGCCTGAGAAGGCGGACAAGGGTTTCTGGCGACGAAAAAGGGCCCAGGTCCCGAAAAGCACGGATGAAGTCCAGCACGATGCCGAGGCGCGGCAGCTGCAGGTGCGCTCGAGGAGCAGGGTCAGTTTTGGTTGTGGTATGGATGGGGTTGATGCCTGGCCCATCCGGGGCATGCCTGCCTCGAAGCCCCTGCGAGCCGATGGTTGCCCAAGAATACACCTTGTTTTCTACTGGTAAGGTACCTGGCGCTCCATGGTTCACCATCCAAACTCATCCCCACCCCCCCAAAAAACTAACACTCCCAGGCGGAGCCCGTGAAAGCGAGCAAGCTGCCCTCCCAGTTCCCCGGCAGCCATTTGGTGGCGCGCCTGCGCGGCCAGGCCCCCCTCACCGACCCCGTGGCGGCCGACACGCTGGAGGTGGGGGATGGCATGGCTGCGTCCCCCACTGACGCAGAGGCCGGCGCGGGGGCCTGGCGCTGGCGCCCCGGCGCGCGGCGTGCGACCGCGCCCCCGGCCCCTGCGCCGCCGCCGCCGCGGCTGGACCACCCCACGCTGCAGCTCCTGCGCCGCCGCCTGGTGGAGCGGCGCACCCACCTGGCCACGCACGGCCTGTCCCCCGCGGCGCCCGGGCCGGCCACGGCGGCCGCCCCCGGCGCGCCCGCGGATAGCGGCCGCCGCGCCGACGGCGCGCGCCTCGCGCTGGTGATCGAGGGTGGGGGCATGCGCGGCTGCGTCTCCGGCGGCGCGCTCCAGGCGCTCAACGAGCTGGGCCTGGCCCCGCTCTTCGACGTGGTCTACGGCTCCAGCGCCGGCGCCATCAACGCCACCTACTTCCTCTCCGGCCAGCGCGACGGCGTGACCATCTACCACGACCACATCGCGCACGAGGGGTTTGTCTCGCTCAAGCGCCTCTGGCGCGGCCAGGCCGCCGCGCCCGTGCTCAACCTGCCCTACCTCATCGACCACGTTATGGAGGGCGTGCTGCCGCTGGACTGGGACGCGGTGCTGGCCTCGCGCCTGCCCCTCAAGGTCGTGGCCTCCAGCCTGGACAGCCTGAAGCCCATCGTCCTGGACGGCTTCGATTCCAAGGAGGACCTGAAGACCTGCCTCAAGGCCAGCGCCAACATCCCGGAGATCGCGGGCGGGCCCATCACCCACAGGTGGGGTGGGTGGGTGGGCGTGTCAGTCGTTCTTTGGGGGGCGGAGGGAGCATGAACGACACGGACGCATGTATGACGAGCCCGCCTGGGCGGACGAGGCTGGTTCCTGCTGAAGCACATCTCGGCTCGCCCGCAACCTGGTTCTCCTCCACCCCCCCACCCCACCCCACCCCATGCACACAGGGGCCACCGACTGGTGGACGCGGCGGTGTTCGAGGCCATTCCCTTCCGCAGCGCCATCGCAGACGGCTGCACGCACGCGCTGGTGCTCTGCACGCGCCCCAGACCCCGGCCGCGCACCGGACCCATGGACGGCGCGCTGGAGGGCGCGCTGGAGGCGGCGGTCAAGCGCGCCGTGCTCTCCCCGGACTACATGGTCCCCGCCTGGAAGGCCGAGTACGCGGCCATCCTGGCCGACGGCTGCACCGCCGACGAGCAGCTGGCGGGAGCGCTGGACGGCGACGACGCGGCCGGGGGGCCACCGGCCGGTAGACCCTGGTTCGCGGGCGCGCACGTCTACCCCGTCTACCCGGGCCCCGCCGCCGCCTTCTCCCCGCTCTGCACCGACGCCGACACGCTGCGCGCCGGCGTGGCCGAGGGGCGCGCCGCCGTGCTGCGCACGCTGGCGCCGCTGCTGGGCGACGCGCTGGGCCTGTGCGGCGAGGGGGACGACGCTGCGGCCCTCCTGGCCAACAACATCGCGGCGGGGGGCGTGCGGGGGCTGGACGCCCTCGCGACCCTGTGACGATCGTGCGAACGGAGGAGAGGACAGTGACCCTCGCCATCTGGAGACGAGAGGAGGTGCACTCGTCTCTAGTGGACAGGGGGGCTGCTGCGGCCAGGTGACC